GTCTGCTCAATGTGCAAATTAGGTTTGCAAACTTCTTGGATGCAACAATTGGCTAATTTAACAGTTTTCTGCCCCGTAGTGGCCAAAACATGTTTCTACAGTGTGGTTGTGCAGCAGGAGGTGTTGTACCTTCAGCCTTGGCCCGGGTCTCTCTCGCCCCCTCCAGGTGTCGCTCGATGCTTCCCTGACTGTAACACCTGGTGAAGGGTGCAGGCGACAGCACCTGACTGTCCGCCTCGACCCGCTGCTCCAGGATCGGAGAGAAATCCACCGAGGAGTGCGAGTGGGTGGAGTAGGTGGAGGAAAAGGGGTCCGCGGCCGCTTTGGTGGACGGCGACCCCCCGCTGCCGCCGTTTCTGCGTTTGCTCCTGGCGATCTCTGCGAAGGAGGTGACCCTGGGGGGCGGCGGCGGTGCCGGAGCGGCGCCCTCGCTGAGCCGGACCGGGCAGCTCAACATGCGCTCCAGAGAGCCGAGCCGAGGCGACGGGGACTTGTCCAGGTTGCGGTCGTAGCTGCGAGAGCGAGGGCGGCTCCCCGGGGCGGCGCCGATGACCCCCCGACCCGCCACCGGAGGGGAGACGTTGACGTAGACCTGACCCTCGATGGTGGCGGGAGCAGCTTCAGCACCACCGGCCGCCTGCTCAGTCTCCTCTTCCTCCTCCTCTTCATTATCGTCATCGTCGTCTTCTCGCTGAATGAGACGACAGAATAGAATAAAGGAAAAGCAGTCAAACTTTCTCCAGCAGCTCAGGAGATAAAATAAAGCGGCAGAAGGCCGGATCTGCTTTGACACAGTGCCACTGTTCCTGACTGATATTAAAACCCTTCAGCTCTACTTAACTGCTAAAATAATCCCCAGACATGATGGCCGATAACAGCAGCTACAGTCTAAAGAGATCCAGAGTCACGGCTATTTAAAGTTCAGGGTTACTGTCACTGTCATGGGACCTTCACTTTAACTTATCTGACATAATTTCAAGACATTTATTGCACATTTTTGCATCGTTCTCCTTTTAATTTGGCCAAATGACAAACTCTGCTTATCAATATTACCTCCTCACGCTGTACTTCTTATCACTTCGCTAAATAATAATCACTTGTTGGAGTAAGTCAACAGAATTCGCTCTCTAAATTGAATTAATATTGCATATCACCCCCAGCAAGCTGCAACTCAAGAGTTTTACTTGAATATTTTGTTTGCTTGGCTTATGTAATCGTCATCTGAATTCTTTAAATGACTCATTTTCACTTCTACCTTCTAACAACTGCTGCAATTAGTCAGCAAACCAGTTTGTTTATTGCAGATAATGAGCCGATACAATTTCGAACACGGGAAAAAAGACACCAAAGAGGCTCAAGTTTCCCTCTTTGACTCCTCGACGAGGTTAGAAGGTCACGTTTAGTCATTATGTTGCAGGAACCCTCTGAGCTTTGATTTCCTAAACCTACAGTTTTTAAGACGAATCTGAAGAGTTCTATTTTGCATTGCTTTCAAGTAATCAGTTCTATTGTGAAGTCCAGTCTAAAGCCTTTATTCTGCACTTAAATTCCTGTTTTTTTCTGCTGTATTGTGTCATTTATCTTGTTTTCCTGCTTACTTCGCTGCGTTTACTTGCAGCTGAACGACAATATCAATGTCATTGAAGTATTCCCAGTAGTTAATGCAGCATCAGTGTCAGTACTATGTGTTTTATTTCATTTATTCTGGTTTCATGTACAACATGTGGATGTAATGTGCAATGCTTGTTTTTTCAGGCACAACATTTCATGAGCATGTGTGATATTACTGACACTATTACTTCTTGCTTTTCTGTTATTTAGCTTATTTATTTTCATTTTCGGCCAGGTGTCATACTTCTATCTTACAGCTTTTCTACTCGGCACTGCATTTTCTCATGTTATGTAATTTTGTCTTTCTATGCAATATCTGGCAAAACTTTTATCTTGTCTTTAACAAATTTACATTTTTTTAGCCTGGACAGCAGTTTGAACAACCACCTCTGATAAGGTGCTGAAGAAATAAACTTGCTCAAAAGCAGTTTTGTTTGCAAAACAGAAACTGTTCTCGCCAAACTTTGGAAAACAACACTTGAATTAAAACCAAGAGATATGTGATGAAGCTTGGTGTCTTGTTTCTACTCACCCTTGACGACTCTCCGTCTTCGTCCTCCTCCTCCACGCCTTGCTCGTCAGCCCGCTGCCTGAACAGGAAGTACTCACTGGGCTGGGTCGGCGTCGGGCTTCCTTTGCTGTGTTCGTCGGAGCAGCTGTTGACCGAGGAGCCGGCGGGACTCGGGGACGACTGGGACGACAGGTCGCAGGTCACCAGTTTGTAGTAGTTCTGAGTGGCGACGACCAGCCGGGCCTGACTCTGCAGGCAGGCGGCCAGGTCGCCCGAGGACCCGGCACGGGGAGGAGGGTGGAAGGAGTTGCAGTTGGCGTCAAGGTCCAGGAGGCCCTGGTGCTCCACGGAGCAGGAGCAGGTGGAGGAGGTGGACAGGTGAGGCTCCCGGATCAGAGGGAAGGAGGCCTGGTGGTGGTGGGACAGCGGAGGCTCGGTTGGGGAGGTGTGCAGGTCCAAGTAGAACGCTCCTCCGGTTGAGTCCCGCTGGTGTCCCGGTAGATCCGACACCGACGAGGTGCAGGAGTGGTCGGTGGAGCTGTTGAGGTTGGTGGGTCCAGAGGCCGGCGGCTTCTCCGGGACGCTGTTGTTCATTTTGTTGTAAATGGCGCTGAAATTGACGAGGACGCCGTCGGAGCTGTTGCAGGAAGAGTCGCTGCCGTAGCCCTGCTGGCACTCGGAGAACGGCTCGGAGAAGGCTTCAGGGAAGTGCTGAGGGTAGTTCTGGGACAGAGCGCAGCAGGAGCAGTGCTGGGTGGAGGAGCTGGAGGAGTACGAGCCTGTCTTGCTGCTTCGACCGCACCTCATGGGATGGTCTTCGTCTTCTTCGTCGTCGTCGCCCCAGTCCTGCTCCCCGCAGTCCATGGACATGTTGGAGCCGCTGCTCCCGTGGCGCCGCTGGCTGTCCAGTCCTAAGATGTCCAGGTCCTCCAGGTGGGCGGAGAGATCTGAAGCTATGCCTCTCAGAGACTCCCGGCTGCTTCGTCCAACCGAACTGTGCAAAAGGAACGGCTCGGAGGCGAATCCGAGGTCGTGCAGGCGGAAGGGCGCCATGCCATCAGAGTTGACGTCACTGTGGAGGTGGAAAGACGAGTCCTCCAGGTAACCGCTGAGGTTGTCGCCTTCATCCTCCTCCTCCTCGTCTTCTTCCTCGTCGTCTTCAGTGTTCAGCAGGAACGGATTATGACGCAGCGGATTCCGGTTCCTGGGTTTGGCTCTGGGCAGCGTGTGAGCCGTGATCAGCTGGTCCTCCGAGTTGCTCGAGGTGAACGAAGAGTCGTCGCTGGCTGTGCTGCCTCCCCTCCCGCCACCCTTCCTTTCCCTCCCTCCGTTGTGGGAGGCCCAGGAGCCGCTGGAGGTCTGGATCAGACTGCTGTAGAGCAGAGCCTCCCTCTGGAGGACGTCTCTCTCGGGGAGGGAGGTAGTGCGACTCAAGCCCAGGTTCTCTGGCGGGCTGAACGGGTTGCTCCTCTTCAGCGAGCTCCCGCAGCCTCCCTGCCGACCGCCCGACACCTGGCAGTGCACCAGGGGAATGTGGTGCACAATCAGGGTCTCACCAGACAGCTTAGGAGGGCTGTCCATGGTCCAAGAGGAGGGAGGTCGGGACTGGCGCTGCAGGAGGGAGGCCCTGTGTGGGTGAAAGGGGGGGAAGGCTGAAGTGTGGAGCTGTTTGTGTTCACACTCTGTTTGCTTGGTGCAGCGCTGCAGGGCTGCCAGGGATTTGGAAGGAGAGGTCAGGGAAGTCTACGCCGTGGTCAGAGTGGTACATCTGGAGAACACAAAGAGACACAGAGAGCAGAGCTGTTATGAAAGCAGCCAAATATTCACATCAAAGCACACAAACACACTTCTACATGCAGGCGGGAAGCTACAAGGTCAGAAAAATCATGTAAAAAATTCATTGGCAAACCTCAGCTTCCACAAATTAACGCTACAAATTGAGCTTTCTTGCATTAATGTCCTATCACCTCCTGTCAAGGGTTAAACTGGGATTTGTAGGCGGGAGGCGACCTTGTGCAGTAAGGTCACGGCTCACAGACCAGACAGCAGACAGTGAAACAGGGACTGTTTCCACAGAGGAAAGTAGTTCCAGTGAAAGCTGCACACGCTGTGTTCTGTAGATGTAGAAATTGTTTATGGAATGAGACGTTACAGCTGAATTAAAAAAACCCTACATTTTATTCAGCTTTGTTTTGCTGTTGAAGCTTCAGAGTCAGATATGTCAAATTAAATCTGTCTGAAGAGAGAGATTCAACTACAATTCTTATTTTTCTGTTTGTGTACTTTATGTACCTTTTGATAATTTGGATGAATTTGAAAGAAAAAAAGTTCCCCTCTGTGAAGCTCAATGAAGTCCCAAAAGGCAATAACACATCGTACATATACAGCTCGATTCACTTTTTTAGTTTTTATTGATTTTTGATTAATATTTGCATTTAATTGATGATTCAAGAAACACTGACATTCCGGCCATACATTAAAAAACAAAACAAAAAAAGTGCTTTGTTTACAAATGTAGCTGGCAAACTAAAGGATAAAAAAAAAATAGTGTTTTCATTATGAGGCTGACTGTCTGCTGCCTCATTTTTTGTATTTCCTAAAGTGACTAGATGGGCTCCATGCTTGCAGTAACGCCGCTACTGTAAATATTATTGCATTTAATCACCAAAACCGACTGATCCCTGCAATAATCCACTTTATGCACCAGAAACATTCAGGTAAAGAAAATGTAGAGATCTGGGAGAGATTTAACCTTTAACACGACTGTTTTATTTGCAATATTTTCACTGTAGAAGCTGCATGAGTCTGTGCTGAAGAGTTGAGATTAATAACGCTGAGTTAGATCACAGTGACACGTCAGAAGGTGTAAATAATTAATGAAGTTGGCGCTGCTGAGCCACCTGAGTAAATTGTCCCTTTAAACGTGACGACAGTTTGGATCCTGCTGCTGTCTGATGCCACAGATGCTTAAAAAGTCAAAGGAAAGGAGCCGATGTTCTACATTTGTTTGTACAGTCAAGTTATATCAGCACGAAACCATCGACAGCAGCCAAATTTAACTGCTGATTCTTGTATTTTTTTGAAGAATTCCTCTCTTGTTTTTCCCAACATTTCTGTTTTAGCAAGAGATATTTAAGGCAAGTTCACCTGAAGCTAGACCAAAAAACAACAAAGCAAAGTTGGATTTTAAAATGTATTAGCTTGAAGTTGTGCTCCAGTAATTTAGAACTCCTCTTACAGACAGCTGATGAATACATAAAGACAATTAAGGGTATAAACAGTGCAAAGAGGCCAAGATGTTCTATGTTTTAGACTAAAAAAGGAAAATTCATCAGACACTCAACTTTCTGACACTCTGTGAACTAATCACGTATCATGTTTTGTTAGGAAATTAACCAAATCTGTGCTTAAAATCAAGATGTTTCGTCAAAGTCCCTTTATTCTACACGTTTAATTTAAACAGATTCCGTAAAAAAAAAAAATAAAAATTCTAAGCTCAGAAGCTACTAAAAAAAAAAAAGCTGCAAAAAAAATTAGTCACATGACAAAAATTCAAGTGACTTTTCGGTTGAACTGCAGGCAGTGTTTACCCACAGCAGAGAGAAAACAAGTACAGAAGCACATTCAAAAATTAAGTAGTAAAATATCACCAGTATGTAAAGATGTAGAGCCACACTGGATTTCTAGTTATGGTAATGCTTGTGGGTACTTCTTCTTTGGATTTATTTCTGAGTTCTCTCTACTTCTATTCATGGTTGTGTTGTTTCCATAGAGATGCAGGACTTTATATTGAAGTGAAAAATGAGGCCAAAGTGAGTTACAGGAACAAATAAACTGTAATTTAAAATTCCATTTACATAAAGTTGAGGGACTTGTGACGAATAAAAAAGGACAATAAAGACTATAAACTGTGCAGAGAGGACAAGATGCTCAACTTTCTCACAGTCTATGAACTAATCACTTGTAGCTTTGTTGGGCAAACGAACCAAATTTAGGCTTAAAATCAAAATATTTCTTCAAAGTCACTTTTATTCTACATACAGATTCTGTATAAATAAAAATTCTGCACCACAAATGAGAAACTAGTTACGTGACTGAAATTCGGGGGCTTTTTGGTTGAACTGCAGGCAGTGTTTACCCAGAGCAGACAGGAGACAAGAACAGAAACACATTTAAAATGTAAGTCTTAAACATCTCTAGTATGTAAAGACATAGAGCCACATTTTCTTTTTTCTGTAACTCTTGTAGATGCTGTTCTCTCTCCTTCTAGTCATGGTAGTTCTGTTTCCACAGAGGTGCAGGACTTTGTATTGTGGTGAAAAATGAGCCCACAGTGAGTAAAAACAAAAGAAACACCCAGGAACCGTAATTTGAAACTCCACTTACATGAAGTTGAGGGACTTGTGATGAATAAAAAAAGACAACAAAGGCTGTAAACCGTTGAGTTAAGGACAAGATGTTCTATACTTTAGTCCCTAAAGCGGGATAAGCTCCCACCCTGCTGCAACTCAGACTTTGTGTGAACACTCTGTCGTCAAAGCTGAGATCATCCGCATGATATCAGACTTTAAAGAGCTCGCCTGGAGCTGCCGAAGACGCTGCGCAACAGCATCTCCACCCACCGTGATCATAGTGTCCGTTCATTCCTGAACTAGGGTTTAAATAATCTACAAACTCGGCCAATAACCATGAATTAATCTGAAATAGCAGCAACAGCAGCAGCGTTTTGAACCAGCGAGTGTTTCCAGAGAGCAGCGTGAGTCAGCAGCATGTGAAGTGGAAACGGTGAGATGAACAGCTGACTCTGAAACAGGACCATGATCTCATCCGCAATCACACATCACGCCCAAAATAACACACACAACGTCCACACACTGTTCCTCTCAACATTAATGGTTTGTTCACAACTTCACTTCAAATTCACACCTGTTGGGTCAATGAGGTGTTTTTAAATGAGGTAGTTCTTCAGTTACGGACCACAAACATCATCATCGATTCAGGGAAAAACATCAAACTGTGACTCTTCTGACAGTTGATTTACTTCTATTTTGAACACGTGGTCGAACATCACCACAGATACCATCGAAAGCGTGACTGTTACACAACGAGGACAGTTTAAATTAATAAAACCACTCACATGACACTTTGAACTTTGGCTCAGACACATTGCACAAAAAATGCAATCAGGGACAAAATGCATGAGATCAAACCTCATCTACCCAACAAGAGCTTCTCTTCATCCTCCTGCCAAATCTAAATCCCAAGTTTATCAATTACAACGACAGCAACTAAAAGAGTTGTCGCAATAATAAAAGGCATTTCAATTCTTTTTCCTCCTTCTTGATTTGAAACTACAGCTTTTGCAATTTGCGTAAATCATTTTTAAGTTGACTTTAAACAGCTCAACCCTCTCTGTATTTATGATTAAACTCCTAAAATGTATTAAGATTAAAGGTCGCCTGATTATCCAGTGCAATATTTTGCACTTTTCTGACTACAAGTTTTGTTATTTCTTTCAACAGATTCCTGATTTTAAAAAATGAATAAATTAAAATTGTGCCCACAGAGCAAATCTGACTGGTTATGAGAATAAATGTCAACACCAACTGTGCTTAACAAGTGTATTAGACCCCCATCCAATGTCAGGTTTATGCCACAGCTGCCCTAAACTAACAGCACTGGTAATTAACAAAATCATTTCTTATGTTTCTGTCATGGTTAATACACCAACATGTAGAAGCTCTTTAACCAAAATGATATTTTTAATGCTAAAATCTAATTATTATTGTCATCATTTACTGTTTTACAAAAAAAAAATAAAAAAATGGGAAAATGGTCAAGGACATTATTATTTCTTGATTAAGATGCCAAATTATAGTTATTTACTGAAATTCATGAACAGAAAAGTCAGTTTTAGTGGTTGAATGCTGTGCTTGGTTAATGTAAGCCCTGTGAGTGTGAACCGGCTCAGATTTGGGTATAAAAAGGTGAATTCAGTGTGAAATCTCTCATTCCTGTTCAAAATGGTAAAACGTGGAGAGCTGAGAATTAAAGCACTTCATGATGCTGGATGGTCGACACACATACATATATGAGCTTAACAAATGAGACATGTGGTCTAATACATTTGCTAAACACTGTATGTAAAATGTTAGCTTTGTGTTGGAGTTTGAAGTTTTGACACCAAATATTTCTCCTATAAATGTATGTCGGTTCACAATATTGGTCTCATTGGGGACTAATTAATAATATTCCTCATTAACAATACTTTCCATCTAAAATATCTCAGATGTAACTCTACATCGGTGCTTTCACTACACGGTGCTGATTGAAGTTGGGAAGACAAATAAAAATGACTGATCAATCTGCTGTTTGCTGCAGCTCCAGCACACCAGTTCACCCAAACACTGTGAAACTACTCTACGCTGTCAGGTTGTAATAATGGAGTGAATGTTCTAAGTGGAAACTAATTGTGAAGTAGAATAAGTCCTGCTGTGTAGTTGGTTCCTGAAACCCTGAAAGCTGCAGTTTAAAGGTGGAAATGTTCAGCCGTGGTGTTGACCGCTTGTGTTGCTGATGATGTGTTTTCTAGTGTATAAGACGCAGCATGTGGATGTGCTACAATCTAGATTTTTACCAGAGCGCGTGTGGAAAAGGGTTTCCTCTGGTGATTCGTAGATGTTGCTAATCCTTAAAACTACATTTCCCATGATGCATGCTGCACTGCTGTGAGATAAACTGTTTTTATCGTCTCGCTGAAGTAAACAA